AAGAAACTTCAGAGCTTCTTTATATATTTAAATAGCCGATATAACTAAATAAATTTAAAGGTTTAATATGGATATTATAATAATTCCACAAAATTTTAGTTCACAAAACAACGGAATCAAGCGAATAGCGAGCAATGAAAGCGTCTTGGGACAATGAAAAAGACGGGGCGATGATAAAAGGTGCCAGCGCTTATTCAAGTTTTATTTAAAATAGTTAAGTTTAAAAAGCTCAACGCGAGGAGGGATACCGCCACTCCTCCTGCATATTTTTACATTCGGAGCGGAGATAGGTGTTACCGAGTTATAATGCGGGATGAATACGCTTATTGTGAAAGCGAAACAATTTACGAAATTCTCTTCTATACTAAAAACTTGAATGTTACGAAGGTCAATACACATTTCTATACAAAATGTTCCAACTACATTTTACATATTTTTTTCTTATAAATGTTTAACGTATATTTCCTTTAATTTTATAAGTTTTAGACTTAACTCAATAAATAAACACTTAATCAAGTGACGAATTACTAAAATAGATCAAAATCAACGGATGCTACGTCGTCTATCTTTTAGAATTTTAATAAGCCAGACTATATGTAGGAGATAATCAGAAAAGTAACAATTTTAATTCCTTTAAAATTATTTTAACTGTAGTCAGACTAAAATAGTGAAAACCTTTATAACTAGTATAGGCAAAATTACTAAGATCGTCATTCACTCCTCACAATGAGAAATAAAATTCTAAATATTTCCAAAAAATTTTTGATCACCTGGTAAATGAAATTGCACTCGTAAGAAAAAGATTTTTCCCTACTTTAAAAAAATAAATAAACCTAAGGTTACATACTTGTTACTTAACTTTTACGTTATTTCTTATAGAAAAGTATATTGATTCTTACAACTAAAAACTAAATTATAAAAGGCATTACGTTCCCAATGCTCAATTTCCGACCTGTCTATAAAATACGTTCAGTAAATCCTTTTTGGCCTTTACACAAACGGTAGCTGTAATAACGAGGGACAATATTCGCAATATTACACACGGCCGGTTAACACTGTCCCCCAACAAGTGTCAAGCCAAACGTCATATCACGATACAGGCAACGACGTCGTACCTGACCAGCAAGCGCAGCATTAGCCAAGAGGCTAGCGACACGGAATATGAGCGGCAAATGTCGTGGAGCAGCCGCCCACCGCGTTACGCTGCAGACCCGTACAATGATGAATATTCACGGCGATCGAACAAACGTACCGAAATGAATTTAGTGGGGGGGGGGAGATGAAGGGGGGGGGGGGGGGGGGGGGTTAATGCCGTGTTGTCAAACGCCGCCTGCATAAACTAACCGGGGATAGCTTTGAAATTTCACTGTGATCGCAAGGATGGGCGAAATCACAATGTGTTATTGTGCGACTTTGGCAATTCGGTGGCCTAATTCATCGTCATTAATTGGCGACTTTAGCAATCGCTTTAGCGTCCAGTTCATTTGGAGTAGTATCTATTTAAACATTTTAGATATAACGGCCGGTGGATATATGAATTACATTTCCTACGGCGATACGTACGTTAGAGTACGTACCTATCTCCGTAGCACGTCTTTAATTTCGAAATAAATTTTTTATGAAGGAATGAAATATGATGATGATTTCATTCATCGGTCAAGGGAATAATCTAATATTTCAGCTTTTCAATGGGATTTAAGTATTACATTATAAAATATTCTGATCAGTTTCTCCTATTCTCCAACATTCCTTTTATAGTCTCTCATATTGATGCTATTTCCCGTACTGCTTTGAAATACAACAAAATCGTCTGCTAAGTTTCATGGAACACCTGCAAGCGGACCGGTTCGGAAACCGATGAATAAATAGAATTATTGGACTATTCAAACTTTTCGACGACCCAAATGGCGTAGTGGATAATGTACCAGCCCCCTGCGCCAGAGGGCGTTGGTTCGATCCGCACTACTGGAAAAATATTGTGTGATGAACATAGTGTTCTTCTAGTATCTGGGTGTTTATATATGTATAATGTGTATTTATTTACAAAAGAAAAGTATGTTTAGGTACCAGTTATCTAGTACCCATAGTTCAAGCGTCGCTTAGTTTGTGCTTTGAGAGCGTTGTGTAAAAATGTGTACTAAAAATTTTACAGTCACCCTGTTACTATGTTGGTTAAAGGGGGCTTCTGTTTGTTATCACGAGGTGCGTAATTTGTGCTCGCCGAATGGCTCTATAGCTCATTTAAAGCTTTCTCGTTTCTGCTCCTTTTAACCGACCTCAAAAAAGGAGGAGGTTTCTCAATTCCACCGTATATATTTTTACTTTTTTTATGTGTATTCGCGGATAACTTCGTCGTTTATGAGCCAATTTTGATGATTCTTTTTTTGTGGGATAAGTGATATCCCAAGGTATATGAATATGACGATGGCATCCCAGAGAAATCGAGGGCAATCATTGATTGTTATATTTATTAACAACGTTTTTAATTTTCTGATTGCAGTCGTTTTTTTGTCTCTAGAAACTCAATGACACGTGGAAAAAGTATTTATTTCTATCTTGTAACTATCGATAGGTGAGCGATTGTATTGTTGTTGTGTTGTGTAATATAACTTGTCAGATTATCAGTTACATTTGACACTTATAATGAAAAATAATTGTACCCCATTATCGTTATCATCATTATGTATTACAATCACATTTGACACATACAAGTCCTCATAAAGAATACCGGTACATTAAAGTTAGCTCGACATCAACAAGTAAAATAGAGAACGCCAAGCTGCAACTTAATTAAGCAACATGCTAAGCAACGTCTCGCTCTTTGGTTATTATTTACGTAGCCCGGCCCGCCTCTGCGACTTCTAGATTAGTGTAATCAAGAATATTATAAGCAATCTTATCTAAACGGGAACAATATTAGACGAATAATATCTTACTTATTAAATCCTTTACAAAGTAAGGTAAACTAGGTGTAAAATTTTTGACATTTTTATAATTGGTAGTTTTTTTGACGTTCTCAATAAGAGCTTAAGTTAAGCCTATATTGAATTAAATATTTTGACTTTTAAAAAATTAGAGACTAAAGAGAGTAACACGGCAACTTCTGCTTTTGCATAAATAGAGACTCGTCCTCAGAGAAGTTCGTCCGATGAGTGATGTAACCAGGACCCGCCCTATCAAAGGTTGGCAATGCTGTTGGGAATATCATGGGTCATAACAAAATCTGTGTACCAATTACTTATTATAATACTAGCTGACCCAACAGTCGTTGTCCTGTAGACGCGACTTAAAAAACGTTTTGACTTAAAAAAAACGAATTGTGAATCTAAACCATTCTCGAATCGACCTGAAGACACACAAAAACTTTCATTAAAATCGGTCCAACCGTTTAAGGGGCGTTCAGTGACACACGTACATATATATATATATATATATATATATATTAGGTTGTTCGGATCAAACCCGCCCACACAGTTATTTCTAGTTATAGTTTTCATTTATACGAACTTATATTTAAAGATCAGCTAGAGGTAGTCGCCCTGCGAATTTACAACCGCTTGTCAGCGCTAAGGTAACTTCCTCACCTTCTTATAATAAGTAATTCGTAAAACGCTCAACTACACATACTACACACACTACACGCAACTACATACTTTAATTGTCAATTTTTCTCCTTAGCTATATAAATATAAGCGAAAACATTTTTGAGCTAGAACTTACTACCCAAAAGCATTATCAAAAAGCAGGCCGGTGAGAACTACCGTGGTTCAGCTACTTAATTCGTCGTGGGACAAACAAATTACCAAAATACTATATATCAAGTCATACGTACATATATCGTTTATAACATATTAGCATTACATTAACTCCCGCAACAATATCAAAGTTCGAGCGAACCCATGGGAAATAATATTATCGTAAGCAACAACTTCGCACAGATCGACCGCGAACTCTGGTATCAAGTTACGGTGTTTTATGCTTTTGTTGAAACAAGTCGAAGCGAGCACGAGAGTGGTAATTAAAATTTTGATTATCCAATTACGGTGCCGGTCTCTATCCTTTCGCGGGGGAATACTGACGCTGTTTGTTCGCAAGGATTCATATTTCCGCGGAACATCGGAGCGAAACTTTAAAATGTAAAGTGCAAAAGATTAAGATAGATGAGAGCAGCAGGAATTGCCGAATAAACGGACTCCTATAAGTCTTAGCGTTTTATTTCCCTCGCTTTGTATGAACATTGCTCGTATGGGATATTCAGAATAATAGGTATACATTTTTCAATTCTAATTGAATCCCCATAAAAAAGTAGAAAAGTTTGTATCAAAATTAATAATATAAATAGACCCTTAATTAATCTTAAATAAATTTTAATCAAACCTTTATTAGCTATAATTAAGTACTAACAAAAGGTAAGCTCACTGTGGTTAGAAGAGAATGATATTGAAAGATAGTCAAGCCGCTAAGAAGCGAATGCCTTGCTTATTACAAGTTAAACTTGAGGTTACATTACTTTTGAAATTCTATCTTTGCGTTACCATTTAAATAATACCGTGTTAATACTAGCTTAATGTATGTATACGATAAATATGATGTTAGCTTTTAATTTAATGTTGGAACCCTCAAAGCATGTATCTTATAGATATATTGAATCGTATAACCGTATTGATTGAGACATAAACACGAAATGCAAGCATTTAGAAAAGATATTTTAGATATGAATGGGTTATATGAGGATTAGTCTTCCATCGAAATCCAATCGAAAAACGTATCGCGTACAATCCGAAACGAAGGAGGTAAAAAGTGGAAGAAAAAAACGTTCCATCTATTTCCTTCTGTTATCGCCCGTTCCGTAAACACTAGAGATTGCGAGTGTAAACACATGCCACAACCACAACGGCAACAGTGGCCGGGGAGAGAGCGTGCGAAGGCGACAATTCGAGCAATTAACACCAAACGGGCGCGGAGAGGCGGCGGTAAGTAGGGCTGCGACGCGTCCATTAGCGACTCGACAAAAACGCCCCGAAACCCGCCGAAACGGCGAAACGATCCCGCTGCACCGCCTCCCCCGGCGCCACCCCTGATTTAACTCTATTTTTCTGCAACCGGTACAGGCGCAAGCAAAAAAAAACCATTCCAGTGTTTATCTGTGCAAAAAAACTTATATCATATAAAATACATATCTTTATTTTCACGTGCAGTGCGATTCGTCGCTTTGATATTTTACGCATATTCGAATTCGTGCAAATTGAGTTCAATATTTACCTAAGCATTTTTAGCTTTAGTTATTTTAGAAAACGCCCACTAAACCAAAGATATCACATTTCGTTATTTACCTTTCTTAAGTAAATACTAGAAGAAAGCTATTACTTTTGGTTTGGCCGACGTGTAACGTTAATATTTTTTCGATATTTTTTATTGTAGAAGGAAATTGATTTGGTACGACTGTACGATAACAACACAAAGGGAACGACAGTAAAAAGACGCTAAAAGCGCCGGGACCCGTAACTTGACGAATATAACCTTAAAAAACTAAGTAAAGACAGTCGAACACACATGTTACATTTCTTAACCTGCCGAAGTTTCGCTATCAATATTCCAACGAATTAACACAACAATGCCCCACAGCGTTGCGTGCCCATCATCATCGCCTCGGCCTTTTCATTTAAAATAAACGTCCATTAGAATATTACCTTTTATTACTATGCGAATCAAGCAGACAGTTATGTATATTAGCTTTTACGTCAAGCTGAGGCGCTATAGATCAAATGTAATAAATACGGTCATACGATTCATATCGATTACACACCTTAATCCAAAGGGATAAGAATAGTTTTTGTATATGAAAAAAAAATTGACAAACATTAACTGACTTCATAAACGTATAGTTTAATTCAATAGACGCAGTTCATATAAACATGGCCTTCTGAACTAAACTAGTAACAGCTGAATTAATTTCTATCATCAAACTACTGTTATCTATTATTAAGTTGATCTTTCTGTTTAAGAGCCGCGGCAGCTTAGACTCCGGGCGCTCGCTTTTACTTCGGTATATTCGAGTTCAAATACGTAATTAATGGTAACGGTACCGATGAAATTGTTAATATAATTCTTTAGCCGAGTTCTGCCACGTAATAATATATCAATAAACGCCGTTTTACCACGTGATCATATATCAATAAAAGAAAACGTTTATAATGCACGTGAAGTCTACCAATCGGCAGTGCGGCCGTATGGTAACTAAAATATTGTTTGCAACAATAATTTTTGGGATCATCAATACAATACAAAGAGCTTATCACCTCGGTTTGGGGACATTCTACCACGTTAAGATAACCAAACTTCATAGGTAGTGTTTACACATAAACCACGGCTGGGAACAAAACCGAGGCACCGCCCCTAACAGTTGGAGACTTAATCAAACGATAGCGGTACCTGTAAATTATATGCAAGTGCAAGATTCATCTTATTTTTGGACGGCTCCCTACACCAGGACATAGACGCTGAGATCCTCGCGTCATTGCACTCCTGGCGCAAGGAGGCAAAAGGCTCCATATTCCATAATTATATGTATAGCCTATTTTTCTATTCTGTAGTTTTAAGCGTGTACCCGATTCTGACCGTTTATGGATACATAAAGAATGTTTCCCATGTAAAAAAAATATGATTCGTATTATTTTCGATAAGAACAGATTAGTTAAACGGACTTCTACACCAAACTGCTACTCTGTATCATGGGAAGCAGTTTAGCTTCCCATGTTAAGGTGTAGCAGTTCATTCGCATGGCATAGCACAGACAACATTCCCAATAACTGAAAGCGAAAGTTCATTAGATAACGCTAAAGGTGAAAAGGGTAAAAATTAACGACTAAGCGAATGTTCCTATCAGAGTGCGTATTACGGCATTGATGCGAGCAGACACTTTTTTATACACACGCCACGGCTCGCCGGCCGTCATTACGCGCAATTTGCGGAAATAAAATATGGATCGACGGGGCACGGCGATATCGCATCGGTGGAATCGACGGGGGGACAATAGGGTTCCGCATTTATTATAATACTAGCGAATCGCCCCGGCTTCGCACAGGTGCAATATATGTATTATACATATAAACCTTTCTCTTGAATCATTCTATCTATTAAAAAAACCACATCAAGATCCGTTGCGTAGTTTTAAAGATCTAAGCAGACAGCGGGACGACTTTGTTTTATACTATGTAGTGATTATTGCATTTTCAATCGATTTTCACAGTATATATCTTTGTGTTGGCACAAGGCTTGAGTAAAAGGTAATAAAGTTGCACCAGCGTCTACTGTCGGGTAAACTCGGCTGCAGGAATACCGCTGCCTCGCATTCTAAGATGGGTTATCGTAAGACGTGTGGTAATCACATTTGCCTCAAAATAAACAAGGTTGAAGAGGATAGGCCGATGAATTGCAGCAGCAAATGCTTCCCAACGTACAATCCACCCTCCATCGGAATTAAAAAGAAGTAAAACACGGATAGATTTTGTGCGGTGGAAGGTAAACCTAAATACAATTACCTAAATACACATAAAGCAACAGCTTACAATACAAATAAAACAACATTATTACCTCTTTTTCTTTTATCACTACACATAAGTAAAAAAATATTTCGAAGATATGTGAAGTCCATTAGTCTGCAGTCGGGACGGGTGGTGGACTATGCCCTAATACACTCTACACACAGGAGGCCTTTACTCAACAATGGAACATATATAGGCTGTTACATCGATGAAATCGATTTAATCGAAAGTATCAAACCCAATTCGATTGTGTTAACAATATAGAAGAGTGAAAGCGCGACGCGCCGATATGGTTGACGAGTGCAGTCGCCGAATGGGATCCGACAATTCTGCCTAATTGAAGAATGTATCTGACACGTTTGGGGCGGCAATCGATACGCACTTAGGCAATTACAACGCACATTACGCTAAATACAAAGCATCACCAACTAATATGTGCTCCATTGTAACTATCCTCGATTGTATCCCATCTATGCTCGAAAAAGAGCAGATTTATTAAAAGGTGGCAACGCATCGGCAACCGTACCCCTACCGCAGTAATCGAAAATGAAGGAGTTACTTTATTACTGTTTCCTTCATAAATTGATTATTCAATATAATAATAATAATCGATAATAGATATTTCAGGATCAGGACATTTACGCAACGTCAACTAGTCGCAAACTAAACAAAGCGTGTACTATGGTTACTAAGTAACTGATATACATACTTAAAAATACTTTTCTTTTATAAATAAATACATAAATTTTTATGTATCAATAAATTAAAGTTTTACTATTATAACATTTAAACTTTTTTACATTAGTAAACGAAATAAAGGGTTAGGTAACGAATTTAGGCCAGACTGTCGTCGTTAAACTCAATATCAAAAAAAATTTGCAGCACCCATTACTGGTAAGCACCAAGTAAAAAAATACACGATGCGTGAAAAAAAAATTGCTTTCAGGCTGAATTTAACATCTGTCACAAAGTCACAAAGGCAGAGGCTCCATCTCAAACTGCATCCCAGATGAAGTGCGGGAGGATCTGGAAAATAAGCGCATCCGTTTCTTTCAAATAAAGTAGGCCGCGGAGAATCCAATAGACATATGAATTGGCCACCTATTGAGTTTATTTGTTGGCCAATTAAAGAAATTTATAAAAATCATGGCTACCTCTATCTTCTACTCTCCATTTTAAACCACCGATAAAGTTGACGCATTGCTTTATTTTTCTGAGCTCGTCGTAAGCCTTGCAGAAATTGCTTTCGAATCCACAAACTCAAACTAGCATTCCCTTTCTTAGTATTAGTGTTAGCGCTTGCAAAATAACATGGCACATAAACATTAAAACGAGTAATTTAATATAATGTACATCATATATTGTATATGTGCGTAAAAATTTAATAAGACTACTGTATTCTATCTTGCTTGGTTAGGACAAGGCATAAATCTAACGCAAGACACATCGCATCTAATCGATATGAAACAAAGAGGTCGTCATAAGCGACCCCAAAACGAACAATAGAAATATTCATGTTACGTCAATGTCAGTTGTCACTGACCGTTTACAAATAGATTATAATCGAATTTAATTGATTGGAAACAATGATAAAAACTGATCGATGCTCATTGACATACGTCGTTGGAGATAGATAGATATATCTTATCCTTTAAACGAGCAATTCATGTATATATATATAAATATATATATATATATATATATATATATATATATATAATCGGAATCTCAGAAACGGCTTCAGCGATTTTCATGAAATTTTGTATGTGCGTGTAGATTCGGGGGCGAAAAATTTTTACAAAATGTTCTTTTATCCCTGTTTTCAGGGAATGAAAAATATCATTCGTATATGACGGTAAATTTTCCCAAAAAAAATATTATATTAGCGGTCGGTAATCGGGCGGCCTCGAAATCGAAGGCCGCGGTTCGTGTCACTTTCATTTACACACTTTTTTTTTTTCTATACCATATCATTGCTTTCTTTATTTTTTATTTTTTTTTATTTCCAAAATACCAAGATTTACCAAAAAAAACCGAGCAAAACTCCAGTGTGTCCTCCAGGTACTTTATTATTACAAGGCAAGCAAAATTATTAATTGATATGGCAATTCATTATTGTTCAGTAATATACATAATTAAACATACAGTCTTATTAAAATTGTTTAATGGATTGATAAGATTGTGATAACAAAATAAATTCTGTGAGTAGTCCTAGCTAGAAATTATCAATTCTATTATTCGTCTAACTGCAAAAATGGCGAGCGCTGACACAAATGATGGCTAAAACATCAAAGGTAACTTACAATAGAATTGTTTATAATGTAAGACATAGGCAATTGCCATTGATCGTCTCCGGTTCCCTATATGCATCATCATCAATCTCAATTTCGACGTCCGGATAGCAACCGGTTAGGCGAACGGCCGAAAGTATCCTCGCTATCCAAACAACTCTCTATCTGCCAATTGCAGCGTACTTAATGGGGTGCGCTTTGTCAGGATCGTTATCTCGGCGCTAATACCGGGGAGTGGTTGGCCGTGTTCACTAATCCCGGATAATCGGATCAAGTGGCGCAGGTGGCTGCCGGATAAACGTTGGAGCCGGGTAATTTTACACCGAGTCCCGCCGGACGCCAATATTGAGGTTTGCCTATGGTCCTCTCCAGAGTCCATTCTTTTGTGTAGGGACGTGGCAATGTTAAATACCGTACATTCTTACAGCAAGCGGTGAACATTAATAAAATGGACAAATGGTAATATTTCTCGCGTTTTGTCTTTTGACATTCACTTGAAGAAACGTCCCATTAAAACCTTTAATAGTAACACCTTGTGTTCGTGAATGTTTTCTCAAAATCGGGTATATTAGGACGAACATAGAGACCATGAATCCTAAAGAAAAATGTGGAATGCAAAGTGAAAGAAAAGTGTTAGAGTAAGATTGCGTCTAGTGTACTCGTGTAACGGGCAAGGGCAGCGCGTTTTTAGTAGGAGTTCACGTTCGGGTACCTACCCCAATATCGTTGGACTCCGACCCGTAAGGCGAGCTGTCTATTCACAAGGCAGTGGGGATCCATAACGGATTTCTCCCACGTTAATAAAAATTAAAAATATCCATATATGCCACTATCAGTCAATTTTGAGAACACGTCATCGTCATTAATATATATGAAGCAATATATTGTGGTAAAATGTAGTGACTGCCGTATAGCCGGGCTCGTCATTTAAATTGAACGATTCGGCAATATAGCGACACGATACATTATGCACAATAATGTAATTTTGTGTAAGATTAAATCGTAGCTGTATCTGGTCAAGACGAAATATTTTCATAATACGAAGTGATTATCAAACTGGATACCTTAAACTGCTACAATGGTAAACTAACATAAGAACATTTCACACACTGCTCCCGTGTATTAAGCCAGCCCAATAAATCAAATATGGAGATAGAAATAGGCAACGTAATCTCCGATTTATCAATGCCGTGTGAATAAAACACGATGGGAAAAGTTCGCGATTGAACATAGCATAAATAATAAAGGCCGAGTGATGTGGATTTTAGTTGAGATAAAAATAAATACGGCACCGCTATATTGAGTGGGGTTAGAATTATTTGTCGCAGAATGGACGTGTTCTTTTATTTGATATCCAGCGGGGACCAAAAGTAAGTGCCAAATATAAGGTAATAACGTTAAATGATTGCTTACGAATAAAACAAAATTTATTTGTTGCAAAATGCTTAGTCACTAACTTCTAGTGGTAAATAAGCTCTAGCTGAGCAGTCAATGTATACACATACCGCATTATTACGCTAGACAGACAGATACGGTGGTAGAGCCATGCAGCAGCCTCGGCTTGCTGCACGAATGGACAGCGGTTTTCACTTAACATCAGGTGAACCGTCAGCTCGCTTGGCAACTTTTCACATAAAAAAAAGATAGTTTAACTCGGGTTAACTTTACATCATTTATGACGCGTTAGGTAAATTCTAGAGACACGACCGATTGTCACATACGGACATATGCTAACAAAATTCACAAGTTCTGTTCTCGGGAAATAAGATTTCCACGGGCTCTAATGAACAAGAAGCTGTTCTAAGTCGATCCCACTAAGCATTAGTTATTGAAGGCAACTGAAGGAATTAGTGTAGTGAGGTAAAAAAACCTAAATATACATGGGTTTTGTTGCAGGACTTGTGCAAATATTTGTATGGACATAGGAAGATTAATCAAAACAATAAAATTCGGGAAAAAGAGTTTATTCCATGCACAGATTAGGCGTCGTATTCCAGTGTCTCACAAACAATAATAGCCACCGGGTCCATTGCTCGCTGAGCACCGTTATACAGTTGACCGCAATTGAACCTAGACAGCGATGTGGAGCGAGCTGTCGAGGGCATCGCTTAGCCAAAACTAATACGGGCCCGCCTCTGGGAGGTGCGCCGCGCGATGAGCCCAAGCGAGTACACGTAAAAGGTAGCGAACGCGCATCGACTGGGAATCGCGTAGACGGCGGCCCAGGGGCCGTCTCGACGGGACGGCGTGATCTATTAACCCCTCCGGAGTCCGCAATGGCGACGTTCGTTGCATTTAAAACGGCCACTAGGCACCGTACGCCACGTAAATTGAGTGCACCCCGAGTAGTGGGGAGTTGGGCGATGTTTAATTCTCAGCCTTATTAGTATTGGGCGTACGACTATCAATTTGCAACGGTCTCACCTTTGCGTACCTCGCTCTACGCAAGCGTAAAACTAAACTGTTTCGAGCTAAAGTAATTTGAATTATAACAATGAAAGATTTTTCCGTTAGCATCGATATCGTCAGAATTAGCTTAAACAAAGTGTAAAAAATCATAAAAGCGCCACATTCCGTCTCCTTCAACGGAGCTTCAAGAAAAAAAATCTTTTAAATCTGGCGTTCACTATCTCATTACTAAAAAATTACCGCACTACAAATGTGAAATTCACACGCTTCCTTACATAAATCGATACGCTATACAACATTGACGAGGGATCATGCCAATGAACACGGTATAAAAGCGATAAAATTAAGCAAAGCCGCACAACGCATGCCGTGATCCCAAAGAAGCGGGCACGTAACACAAGGCTTTCGCGGCCGACAGCGCGGCAAGACGGGAGGGCCTCTAAATTCGGGGCGTTCCCGACTGCGGGGGCAGATTGATATATACCGGGAAGCACTCGCCGCTCTAATGAATGGGGTGTGGCACGCACCCTGCAAATCTGCAATATCCGCAACCGCGGCCGACTGCGCCGCTGCAGAGCTCGCCCGGGTGATATTTACGACTATCGCCGACGAGCAAACAGTGTGGGTATGATCGATAGATGTTCCGACATCGTATATCGATGTCGGAACATCTATCGATAACACGACAACTCCACTCACTCCAAAACATCGATACATCGATGATGTAAACGAAATATCTGTACATTCATATTTCTTTGCTGTACGTACGAAATCTGGCGCATTTAAAGTATACTATTATTGTTCCATCATTTTTATTCAAATAAAAAGGCTAATTATATAATTGGGCAAAGTTAAGTATATTTTCGTACTTGGAACTTGTTTTGGACTATAATAATATTTGTTAGTTATATCAACGTCGACGAGGCGATACCTTTGCACAACGGGACAAAATATTGTAGCCTTACTCTACATTCTTACAGAGAACGAACATTGTGGCAACTCGAAACAAAGGCGGTGAAACGATTTCGCGTTGGGGGCACTTTTAGACCGTTACTCAACCGGGCCGGACGGCGGCGCCATACATCACCCGGTTGGCTGCCCATTACACCGGTGAAGATGGACGGCTAACTGAGCGGGCGATTGCGCTATAAACTCAATGGCAATAGAAAGTCATCGCTGATTGAGAAAAAGGAAACAATCGCGATCGCGCGTGCCGAAGTGACGCGCCTAAATGAAACCTAGTGCAATATGGAAAGTGGGTTAAAAAGATTGATCAAGCTGAATATGAGGCCGTCACGCATGTGGTCCTATATCGTTCATACGGCGGCGTCAATCGTTGAAATTCATTGTGTTTTTCATACATTCGTATCATTGCGGAAAATCATCGATGTGCAAGCATTCTATAATAGACGCCGCATCGAAAGAGAAGAAAGAAGAGTCAACAAGCCATTCTATAAACAGAGGACGGCGAAGTTGGCCGCGGATTCAGTGGACAGATTTTGTGAGCACGGCGTTTCGGCGCTAGCGCTTAGCGCAATCGAAACTTCTCGAAAGTTAAGCGATAACGGCGGCGTTAGCGCGCCGCGACGTCACCCGCCGAAGAATCCCAATCATAATAATTCAGACGCTATCTACGGGGTCGGGGATGCGGAACAAAAGGAGAGAAACAATGGCGGACGGCGTCGGGAGTAGCAGGAGGCGCGAACAAATTGCCAGACCCGAGATAACTAAGCATTATTAAATCATAGTAATTTGTGGCTGCGGTACGCCGGGCCCTCCGTCTCTAACAAGCTATCGGGGCGAGCTTTAACTTGTTATAGTTACTTTTCCCGTTTATCAACAGCAACCCACCTAATTTACCGATTCGCCTAATCCTCTCGTTGCGGTTTAAGGTTTGGCGGTTTATTTGCCACTGCAGATTTATAATCTGCATTTTAAAGTGATGACGAAACAACAGTACAAAGCGAGGAAACTATCATCCGCAGGAGTCATAATCGATAAGACATCCCTAACAGCAATGGTATTGCTAACCATTAAAAGAATGGCCTTCCCTATAACCCCGCTCGACTGTTTCTCAGAAGTATATTTTCCATCATGCAGTCAAAGAGGCATTCTAAGGAAGAAACCGCTGCGACTCTTTTTTAGGGTTCCGTACCCAAAAGGGTAATACGGGACCCTATTACTAAGACTCCGCTGTCTGTTTGTCTGTCCGTACGTCACCAGGCTGTATCTTATGAAATGTGATAGTTAGACAGTTGAAATTTCGAACGGGTGCAATGTATTATACATATCAACCTTCCTCTTGGATCACTCTATTTAATAAAAAAACCGAATCAAGATGCTTTGCGTAGTTTTAAAGATCTAAGCATATATAGGGATGGACAGACAGAACAGATAGAACGGAACAGAGAGGGGCCGCATTTCCGCCACAGCTTACGGCTCGTCGTCAGTGAGTTGTATGTACCTTGCAACACTGGCGGTAGACAGATAGACCCTTACTAATATTATAAAGGCGAAAGTTCGTATGTATGGATGGATCTTTGTCACTCTGTCACGAAAATAATACTGAATGGAATTTTATGTTTGAATGGATTTTAATGAAACTTTACAATAATATAGCTTTTACATCAGAATAAGACAAAGGTTCTATCTATATACATATACAGTGTGTCGTTACAACCGCGACAATAAATGAACACTCATAGAGGATAACTTTTTAAAATTATATTAAGCATTAACATTTTTTAAACATCAATATTTACCGAGTTATTAAATTTTACAAAACATACTTTTTAGAACACCCTTACGTATAAAACTGTGACGTAAAGTTCATTTGTAAAGGTTACAAAGCATACGAATGGGTTGAATTAATTTAAAAGAAATAAAACATACTATTAGAAGGAGACACTTGTAATGCGACGTTTTGGCAACGAATGAAAAAGTCTCTGAATGTATGAATCAGGCAGCTGTAGGATGGTACAAATTTTGTTTCTTTTTTATTTCAATAGTTTGTTTGGAAAATATATTTTTTTTAATTATGGATTTTTTAACGTTTTATCTTTTTTTATGATTATTGGCAAGTAGCGTTAGACGTGTATTCATTTATTGTCGCGGTTGCAACGAAGCGCTGTATATCTTCTATCTATCTATATATGTATATATATATATATATGATCGCTTCGTCGCATGCAAAAATAATCCAACACCCGCCCTCCCCCTCTTCTCCGTCTACTAGTGGAATTTACGCGAATTAAGGGCGCATTATACGCGTTGAACTAATTATTAAATTACAGCTTGAACATCACGTGTAGCACTTCGCGAGTGGACACTTGATAACACGCGCCGTTTCGAACGCAGAATCGGTGGTTGTGTGACTTCAATAAATTAGTTAACGAGAAATGTTAACGAAGCATATGAATTTTAAAACTTAAAAATAAGTACAATGTTTATTATTAATAATGATAGAAACAATTTTATAAACTGAAATGGTTTCGACACCAATTATTATTAATTGGTAAATTATTTAACACTGATAATCACTGATAATCAATATGCATACATAAAAGGTATCACTTATGTATTTTTAAACCCATTGCCACATATGATAAAATTTAATATTTAGTTGCTATGCTAATGAAATAAAACCACTCTAGACAGTGAAATGAAATTTGTTGGAAATAAAAGTACATAGATAGATCCACCACATAAAATACTTAAAGCGACATCTAACGAATTCCTAAAACAACGGAGCGTATTAGATTGCTACCTTTCGCCGGAAGACGCTGCGCCGGTTTTCAAAGCTAATAGCGCCCTCTAGTATATTTATTAAAATTGAATGTTAGAAAATGGCATGTGCGCCATCTACCTTTAAACGGAGTGAACCGTCTGAAAATATCGTCAGAATATCTACGTACCCGTACGTACCGAAGCCGATCATAGATGGCGTTAAAACCGAAAAAGTTGTGATGTGTACATAAGTAAGAAGCATCATTTTATTATTGTGTCGATATACACACTATTTTTATCTCAAAATAATTAATATAATCTACATAAGAGTACTCACGGGTGTGGTTTCTGTGTCCAGCATAATGCAGCACAAAACTGCAACTAAATGTCTGCAACAAAAAAGGATTCCAAATTAATATATTTTGCATTAATTTTGCTTTTACACAAAAAGGGGATTTAGAATGAGAGGCGAAACAATAATATCCGTTTCAGGATTTTATTGTTTCGCCTGAAAACAAGTTTTGAAGTATAATTTACTAATTTTTATCATGGGCTGACCACGAAAGTAAATAACCGCGCCATGTTGCGGAAAACCAATGGAAGTAATATCTTTTACCTGTCTTATTGCATAAGTACGAGTTGCAACGGGTTTTTTTTTAAGTGAAATGTTGCCAAGCGAGCAGACGGTTCACCTGATGTTAAGTGAATACCGCCGCCCATGGACATCTGCTACACCCGAGGGTTCCAGATGCGTTGACAACCTTTTGAAAATTGGGCTCCTACTTACCAGACGAAACGCGAAAGTATTATACTTTCCACTTTACGCCGGTCTTCTGTGAGGTCGTGATACTTACACGGACGAGCCTGCCCATTCGTACAACTGCCGAGGCTGCTGCGTGGCCCTACCACCGCAATGTGCAATGAGCAGTCTTTTATTTCAGAATGATTTTTTTTATCAGCCAGAATTTATATGCAAAAATAAAATATAGTCGTTTAATTAAAATAATTTAATTAAAATAAAATAAAAACTGGTATTGCTTATATTCTCTCGCCTTATTCGATTGGAGAGTCTGTTACAGTTATAGAAGAGATAGAGAGATAGCACTTTTTCCTTACGTGACGATTTCTTCCAACTCACACCACGCGCAAATCCCATTAGAGAACTTCGATCAAAAAGGAAATCATTATGAATTTCCCTACAGGTAGTTCGCTATAAATGTGATTGAAGTTATACTTCTTTAAACGCTAAGCTTGATTTTATTAGTTGCTTTCTTTGGGAAAACTAATCGAAATTAGATTTAAAAATAGGCGTAAGGTTTTGGCACAAAGCTGAAAAATGGCATGAATGTTGGGAACACTATTACAAAAATTTGTTACACGTATTTGTCAAAAATTCACGTGTGCAAAAAAAAATGAGGTCAAATGTTGAAAAATCGTTTTTTTGCATTTTTCAGCTAAACGAAGTTTTATCATACAAATAGCTGCGACAAAAATTATTCATTAGGCGATTATCTATAAAAAATATGTCTACACTTTTGTCCCACTTATGTTCTTCGTAAAATGTACACGTTTCCGCGCCGCCCGTGAGGTCCTGCAAATGGCGCATTTTTCAACCGACGACAAAAAAGGAGGAGGGTCTCAATTCGATTGTACTTTTTTTATGTTTGTTATCTCAAATCTTTTGACTTCTTGTTTTATTTGAAAGCTGATGCTCCATGTGGTCCCATATTAATTTCATTCGTATTGGATCTTGGGCTCTGGAGATACTTAGGGAACTTCTGAAAATCACTACATAGTATAAAACAATGTCGTCCCGCTGTCTGTCTGTCCCTATGTATGCTTAGATCTTGAAAACTACGCAACGGATCTTGATGCAGTTTTTTTACTACATAAAGTGATTCAAGAGGAAAGTTTATATGTATAATACATTGCACCCGTGCGAAGCCAGGGCGTATCGCTAATCAATTATAAAATGAAAAAAGAGCGACATATTTGAAGGCGGTTTTGTTTTGGTTTGTGGTTTCATGCCAATTTTCAGCTAAATGTCACCTTGAATGTCTATTTTGACCGAGCTAAACGTATTTTTGACGTGTGACGAAGTTGCGCACGTAAATATAACACATATTTGTACCATAAAATTAAAAAAAATATATTAATTATGTCACATATTAATATATAACAATATATTTCGAAAAAACTATAGTGGGTGTGAACATATTTATGATTATTTCTGTAGTATTTAGTTTGCCTGTACCATAGACGAGTTTCACTCCGTTAATAATTGTTTCGAATCCAAAAAAATATGTTGTTAATAAAGCCAAATAACTATAAATTCTTACGTGCGTTCATAAGTAGGCACACTGTTTTGTATTTTATAACCTCTTAAATTTTTATCAATTTGTTTTTAAAAATTCTTAGGAAGTTATACGTTCAGTCTTTCTTACCGCTGTAAGGGTAGTTTTATTTTATTCATGGAGGAAGTGCTTTACAAACAAATCTAACATAGAAAAACACCTATGTAACACCAGCTATTCCCGGAAACTTGGAAACGAAGCTTTCGGTTATTAGAAAACAATATCTATTACTTGACATCACAATAATAAACGACTTAAGCACTCGGGGATCTATTAGCACACGACCAGCGACATTCGTTCATTTGAGAGTCTAAAATTTCATCCTCAAGCCTCAAAACGATGTCACATGTGTCGCGCTGTTTATAAATCATCTTATAAATAGTTTGATTGATTGATATAGTTTGAATAGTCCACGTATTTACGCGAAGCTAGTAGGCATTTTCAAAGATGATTATTTTACACTTTGCCATGGTCCTGAAACAAACAACAGTCCGCGGAAAATCAACTACAAATAGCATAACTAACTATTCAACGAGCAAACGCAGCTAACGTTCTTGGCACCATTCCGCTTGGATTATGTTTATTAGATAATATTTAATTTTGTAAATA